TCAAAGTCAAGAAGATGATTATGATCTTGAGGATAGATTAATTGATGTTTGAAATAATTTTTCTATTTGAACACTCTAAAAAAATCAATTAATAAATTTTTCAAAACATTCTTGAAGTATTGAATGGTTTAAAAGAAGAGTCATATAATAATCCATTATTTCTATACGACTATTCTCTGATTTAATTGTACTTTGTGTTGTAACAATTAAATCTTTCAATATTATTTGTTTTTCAGTACCTTCCTGTGTTAAGTCACAAAATAAAACAAAGATTTTTGAAATATGAGGGAGGAAGTTGGATAAAGAACAGTTGGGTACATTCAATTTTTAGTAATTTATTCAAAAAATAATGGAACTGCACAAAAAGGGTTGTAATCAAATATGCCCAAAACTTGTTAGTAAATTTCTTGTTGAAAGATTAAGCTGTGGCAATACAATTCAAATTTACTGAAAGAAGAGTTAGCAAAGAGTTAAATTGTTTTCAAAGATCGGAAATGACAAAAATTACGAACACAAAAGCAAACAATAGTTTTGCGTTAAACGGTATCTCTATGTCTTCATTAATAAAAAGATTCAGTTGACTATGCTAAATAAAATGGGTAAGTGTTAAAGTGAATAGAAGATAATATTAAGTACATTATTTTTCATGTTTGGTCAACTACATCCTGTTTTCAATTTAAAGAAGAATAAATGATTCTTTTTTATCATAGTTCTTTTTTTTTGTTTGTGTTGGATGTCTGACTGGTTTAAAACAATTAAATATACCTTTTCCTCTTTGATGTGATTATCGACTGTTTGTTTATTTGATGAAGTTTCATTGGTTTGTAAAAATATTACTAAGATTAAACAATTCTTCAAATTTAGTACATATTCCAAATAATCTCAGTAGAAATATTCATACAAATTTAAATGAAATAGAGTTTTGAAGAGTGTATGAATATTTCTAAACAACACATCAAGTTAAACTCAAAGATGGAGTAATTAGGAGATTAGAAACTAGTAAACTTAATAAAAAGAATATCATATCATTAACAAAAACAATTACAAATGAAGAGTAATGCACAATAAAAAAACGTAGAGGTATGAAGGTTATCTAAATGATTACATTGAAAATGTCATGAATATTCCTATAATATAGTTTTTTTTTTCTCTTTTCTAATTTAAGTTGTTAAGAACTTAATAATTTAATGGATACAAACAATAAGTCAAAACCAATTTGTTGTCTAGACTTTAGTCAAGAAGAATTAAAAAAAATTCCAGTGAAAGTAATATTTTGTCTGATTGGAATATGTTATTTAGCAGTTGATGCATTAATTATTTTTGTTTTACCATTTTTGTATTCTCTAATTACAGTCATATTTTGGTTTGTTATAGCACAGATATTGGTGTATTTAATCACATACAACTATTACCAATGTCATTTTGTGACTGGAGAATGTATTCCTAAACAATATTATCAAGTTGATGAAGAAGAAAAAGAAGAAGACCAATATTGCGATATTTGTAAGAGATATAAAGCAGATAGAGTTCACCATTGTAAAATTACAAACCAATGCATTTATAGATATGACCATTATTGTGCAATGGTAGGAAATAGTTTAGGATATCATAACTACAGATATTTCTTTTTATTCCAATTCTATCTATGGATTGGATTATTATTAGCAGATTTTCATTTATATAAGATTGTTGTATTTATTGGTAGTGTTTGTTATTTTTTTTTCTAACTGATTCTTGAATAATATTGGTTCTTATAGTGATAAAATAAAAGATAATCAAAACTCAAATAATAGTCTCATTTCTATTATGTTTTTATAGTTTTTTTAGTATTATTCTTTGGGAATATGACATTTGCTTTAACAATGAATATTATAGCAGTGATGTTTACAATTACATTCAATTACACTATGAAAGAAGTTGTTGATGACTTTGGTCAAATGATTCGAGAACGTAGATTTATCAAGAACAAATATTACAAATCTATTCTTTTAAATTGGAAGGAAGTAATGCAAGTTTCACCATCAAAACCACTTTTGTTA